CACATGGCCACATGGCTTATTACCCTCAACACAGTCCCAATTCCTGAAACAGGTTCACAGAACACCACATTCCCCAAGGAGTACTGATTCATACACACCCCCCACGTACCCTCACTGCACACCAGAACACCACAGCCACCATTTCCATCTATGTCTTTCAAGGCCTAGAACAAATCTTCCCTCTCCTCTGAAATCTTCCAAATAAAACTTCCCTCCTTTAATCTTCATACTGTAATTACTTCTCTCTTATGAAACCTATCTACTAGATATTATAATTATTTCTGTACATGTCTTTATATGCCCCATTGTTTGTAGCTCATTTTCTTGCATATTAGCTTGGTGAGAAAGCTGGGCTTGAAGGATGAGTAAGAGTCAACAGGGTGAGGGAAGGACAATATTACAGGTGTGAACACATAGGGTGTGAAGCTACAGGCATGTTGAAGGACTTGACCTAGTTTTTAAGAAAGTGACGTAGAATCAGATAAAGAGTGCAGAGGCAGTTGAAAGCATATGTGAATAAATACATATACCACACTAAGGAGATTTTAGTTTGTTTTGAAAGCAATGGTAAGATTTAAAGGTAGAAGGAGAGAAGTCCGATGATAGGGTTGAACTTTAGAAAAATAAAATTTAAAAACTAAAAATAAATTTTGAGGTAGTATAGCCAATAGATTGAAGGACCAAATAACCAAAAATAGAGACCCACTTACAACAGCATGCAATTAGCAGAATACAGATAATGAGGCCCAGGTTAGTGACCATGAGTTGGAGTGGTTAAGACAGTTATGAGATGATTTAGAAGTACAACCTAAACATTTTTACAACTGGTTGGAAATGGAATGTGAGGAAATGCAAGTAATTAAAAATAACCTTAAGAGTTTTAATTTTGTGAGCTGCCATTGGCAAAGAAAACACACATGAGAAGATATGCAGGCTTTGTCTGGGGAGGAGAAAGATGAGTTCCAGTGGGACATGTTGAATTGGAGATGCCGCAAATATCAAACGGACACTTGGGAATTCACTTCTAGAGTTTCCAACACAAGTGTTTCTCTCTCTTAAAATATTTTTAAATTGATTGTTTAGAGAGCGAGGAAGGGGGAGGGAGAGAGAGAAAAACATCAATGTGAGAGCAGAACACCAGTTGGCTGCCTCCTGCACACCCCCTACTGGGGATCAAGCCAACAATCCGGATATGTACCCTGACTTGGAATCAGACTAGCAACTCTTCAGTGCACAGGAAGACACCCAACCAACTGAGCCACACCGGCAAGGGGGAGAGTGTTTCTCTTAGAGCTAGAGTGGAGAGTCATCCAAATACAGGATATAATAGGAGCCATGGTGTAGATGACACTCCCCGGTGAAACAGTAGAGATAAAGGTAAGAACGGGGCAATATCAGAGTGCTTGGGCAAGGCCAATATCTTTGGGAACACCAATATTTACGAAGGGAACAAAGGCAAGGAGCCTGGGAAGGAGACCCAGAAGGAGGGATGAAGAGAGAAAAGAAGAAGGAGAGACTGTGGAATTGAGTAGCCACATCATAGAGAAGGTGGTCAGCAGAATGGGTAGCATGAGAAGAAGCCACTGAGTCTGGGAAAGAGGAAATCACAGGGGCCTTACAGGAGCACTTTAAGTGGAGAATAAGGGAAAGAAGGTACATTGCAGCGGTCTGATAAAAAGTCGGAGTTGAATACTAAAGGTGGCAAACGCAGAAGCCTTGTGGTGTGAAGAGAGGACGAAAATGCAGTGATGGCTAGAGAAGCTTCCAGATTAGGAAAGTTATTTTAGAAAGGGAAGACAAGACCTGGTGGTTAGCATGAAAGAGCCCAAGGAGAAAGATTAAAGACATAAGGGAGAGGAGAGTTAAAGGATGGCATAGGGCCTGGGGGAATTGGAAGGCATGGATTTGCAAAAAAGAAGTGGAGGAGTGAGCTATAAGTAGGGACACTTGTGCCTATGAGCTAGGAGGTAATTTAGTCAAGTGGGTGAAGATGAAAATCAATTTCATGTTTTGAACCGTTTGGGAGACGGGGGAGAAAAGCTGGTTACATATCAATCAAAGTATTTCAAACATCACTGATTATCAAGCTAGGGTTGAAAAAGATGCATTTATGCTGGAGCTAATCAGAAGGTTTATTCTTTTTCTTTAATTTTTGGAAGGTTGGCAGTGTTTGAAGGATGCTTTAGGAGTTCTTGATAGTAGGCGATATTAGCAGAGGGAAAGAATGGAGTAGAAAACATTCACCAGGAGGGTTATAGAGCCTGGGCAAGAAGTAAAGAGGCCTTGGGAGGGCATGGCTTCTGGGAATGACAAGCAAGGTATTGAAGAGGACCTATTTTGAAGGGGAAACAGCTGCTAAGCTGAGAACGCATGAAGTTAAAGCTTCCAATAAAGCATATAGACTAATAAGATGGAAAAAACTATGAAAACGTTTCTCAAATGAGATGAATATCAACTGTTCCAGTCTTGTTTCTTTCTCCTTTCAATAATAATAATAACAATCCAAGTAACCTGATTTTTTCTTTCCAGTGGAAATCATGTCCAAAGACCTCGGTTTTCTTTCTTTATTTTTCACATTCTAACAACCGTCACTAATGGGGCAGGCCCCAGCCAGGCACCAGTCTAAGTGTTTATTTTTGTTTTAATTTAAATTCTTTATTGTTTAAAGTATTACATGAGTCTCCTTCTTCCTCCATTGACCTCTCCTTGTCCGCTCCCATCCCCCAGCACATGCCCTCACCCCCCTACTGTCTGTATCCATTGGTTATGCTCATATGCATGCATACAAGTCCTTTGGTTGATTTCTTACCCCCTCCCCCCCCCCCCCATCTTCCCTCATAGGTTGGACAGTCTGTTTGATGCTTCTATGTCTCTGGTTCTATTTTTGTTCATCAGTTTATGTTGTTCATTATATTCCACAAATGAGTGAGATCAATTGTTTTTTATGTCAACTCATTGCACCTAACTACAATCCTGGGCTGTGGCTATTATTATTTCTCCTTATTTTACATTTGGAGAACCTGAAGCACAGAGCAGTGCAGTGACTTTCTCAACAATGCCCTGCCAGTAATTGCTTGAATTTGGGATCTGTAGCCAGGCAACCTGGTTCCCAAGTCCGCAGGCCTAACCACTACATATTCCTGTCACCTCTCCATTCAGAGAGAAGAAACCTAACTTAATTAATAACTCTTTTCCACTGACTCGGCCTCCCTGTGACAGCAAAAGAACTGCCTGTGTCATTGCAGGAATCTCCGAAGCAGACTCAGAGTCCAGCTGCAGCAGGTACACCCTCAAGGCTGACGGGAGTCAGTGTCCCAGCGGGTCGGCCGGAAGGACAGTCACCTACACGTGTGAGTTCATCAGCTTCCACGGAGCCCGAGGCAGTAAGAACATAGAAGTGACATTCACATCTGTGGGTAAGGACTCTTACTAGCATTTTCACCTCAAACCCAGGGCTGCCAATCAACTGGGAATATTCCTGAGCCATAAACAGGGCCTTCCCTGGTGGTGGGAGGGTGGTTGGGGTGAGTCACAGAATGGGGAACAGGAGAGGATTTCCCTCTGTGTCATTTCAATTCACACGAAATCTTCAGTATGGGGAAGGGTAGGCTGGGCAGCTGGCTGCAGAGGGGGAACAGCCTGCCTTGTGCCGGTGCAGAAAGTGGGCCAGGAAGTAGTTTCACACTTAGATTAGTCCTATTTAATCTTGAGTTTACAAGGAGGCTGATGCCCCTAGTTCCCCCCTTTCCCTTCCATAGTTTCATTCTCCCTCCCTTGAATTCTTCTTCCCTTAGCCTGGCTCATTCTCCACCGCCCTTCCCTCCCCTGTCACCTAACCTAGGACGCATGCTTCAGAAAGCTTAACAACCTGGCACTTTGAGGTTATTTTACAGTTGTAACAAGTACTTTTTAATATTTCAATTAATTCAGCTTATTTAGGCCCCTTAAAAGTAGAAGTTCTTCTCCTCATATCATAAAGCATCATAAGTTCAGCCCTCTCTGCAAAAAGAGGGCAGTCAAAGTTGTTTTTCCACCCATCTTAGAAAACAAACTATGTAGTTAAATCATGAACAAGTTGGAGGAAGGACTTATATATCAATGGACTTGTTACTCTTGCTCACATTTCCTGTTATTGTGACCTGGCATTTTTATAAAGAGCAAGATTAGGTTTATCTGAAAAACATTATTGCTGTAGTTCATGGGTCTTTTGAGCAATGTGCAGTTGTCTGTAGTGAGCGCAGTTGTACATGGCACAGTTCCACGCTGGGACCTGTGTCCTTAGGTAAGCATTGGCTGTCTTAGGGGCATGTTTAGCCTCCGATGAAAACCATTGGGCTGGTATTTGGACCTCATCTGAGAATCAAGAGAATGGGATTCACAGGTCCAGGAGCCTTTGCCTTTTCTCTCTTGCAGAAGCCACTCCACCTCAGACAGCTATCCCAAGGTCACTGCAGCCAGTAGGGCACCGCCAGGGACGCTTTAATCACGCTTTGTGACTTTGGGGCTGTATCTGAACACTTGAATCCCAACTTCTAAAGGGCACTATGGAGACCCCTGATTTTTCTGATGGTGACTGAGGAGAGTATTATACACTGACTAGAAGAGCAGGCAGCCTCAGTGAACTCCAGGCACGAATTGTTCACCTAAAAAAGACAGAAATGAATGGCATTTTGAAATGTCAACCCTGTAAAAGATATGCTCTAAGAGCCAGAGGCAAAACTAGTGGGGCATTCGTACAAGTTTTTATATTTATAAAGGGCTTGTTAACATTCTCGGTGAATAAATCCTCATGAACCTATGAGGAAATTCTCAGAAAGAGGAGTAAATGCAGAGAGTTATGGTTAGGGTGCCTATATGGCCCCGTTCGCCCGAGACAGTCCAGTGATCCCTTAAGCTACTTAAAATGTAGCTTCAGAAATCACTCTTGCTTGGACATAGACTCAGTGCTAGATCTAGGGATTAAGTGCTGGGGATGCAAAGACACAGAAGAGAGAGTCCTGTTCTTGCGGGGCTCGCATTTTTATGGAGAAAAATTATATAGACGAGATCGGGCGCGTTCAGGGTGGTATGGCCATAGACGAAAAGAAATATAGAAAGAAAGAAATTAAAATACAATGTGGTGTAACTGAGACACTTGGTGTCCCTTGCGGTGTCGCGGAAGAGGTTGGAGGGGAGCTTGGGTGAAGTCAACATCCCTAAGTTTGCAACCTTTCGCCCTGCTGACCATCAGGAGATAAATCCAGCCACAAAGGGGAAGTGAACGCGCTCCTGAGGCATGTGATGGAAATGAGTACAGTTCAGAGCACCACCAGGATCAGCCTAGAAACAAATAAAGCCCAGGAGCAGCCAGGTACCAATCCCGCGTTGACACAGTAGTCAGGACGGTCCCCGCTTCCTGTCTCTATCTTAAATTTCACTCCCGTGTTGATGGCACCAGAAAGACTAAACCTTGTGCTTGTTGTCGGTTTTCTTTTGTCTGTTTTGTTTGCATTCTTTCAGCCAACTTAACAATAACCCCGGACCCAATTTCTGTTTCTGAGGGACAAAACTTTTCTATAAAGTGCATCAGTGATGTGAGTAACTATGATGAGGTGTATTGGAAAACTTCTGCTGGAATTAAAATCCACCAAAGGTTTTACACCACCAGGAGGTATGCTGATAAAGCGGAGTCAGTGCTGACGGTGCGGAGCGCGACAAGGGAGTGGAACGGTGAGTGAAAAGCCAGTACTGCTCTGCTGCCCGGAGCCCTGGAAAACATGCGACAGTAGTTCCCATCCACATTTCATGCAACAGCCCTTCTGGGGGAGGATGTCATTATACCCATTTGACAGATGTAGAAACTGAGGCTCAGAAAGGATAATAAATACACCTAAGCCCCTATACCTTAAGTTGTAAAGCTAGGACTGGAACTTGTCTCTCTCATTCTAGAGCCGGTGCTCTTGCCATGAAGTTAAGAGGATTTTTATTAAAGGTACTTTTATCAAAGTCATGGTAGTGTTTCACCCAATTGCGGCATCAAAAATCTACCGTATTTGCCGGCGTATAAGACGCTTTTTTGGCCCTGACAAATATGCATCCAAGTGGGGGG